GGGGACACATGTTGATGTAGAAGAGACATGGAGAAGAGGGGACACATGTTGATGTAGAAGAGACATGAAGAAGAGGGGACACATGTTGATGTAGAAGATGAAGAAGAGGGGACACATGTTAATGTAGAAGACACATGAACACGTGGATTTTGCATAATAGGTGACCTTTAACATCTAACATTATTTAGCTAATTTTTCAATCGTTCCTTATCAGCCACATCCCAGTCCTCCTTACGCAGTAGTCCCAGGTGGGTGGTGGACACCGTGAAGCCCAGTATGTCGGTCACTTTGAACTCGCCCACATCGGAAGGTTTCACCTGATCCAGAAAAATCCAAGAACCATCCATATAGAGACGCTCCTCGAAACCCAGATCTGCTTGGGCCTAGAAGAGACACATTTATACATTTAACATAAAAAAACTGAAAAGATACAGATGACATTAGAATGATGCAATAGAGAAAATACCGTAAAACAACAATCCTTATTGTTTGTAAAAGACTAAAATGGCGAAGTTAACTTGATATCATGAGTACAAAAGGTGAGTCATACTGGATTAAATGTCCATTACCAGATGAATCACAAAAATGTGGCTTGACATAGACACATTGTGGGGCAGGTAATTTTGGAGAAACCAGCTTGAGTGCGCTAGAATTTGAAAATACACAGCCGGAACAAATCTGCCCGTTCCTTCAGACTTCCTCACAGAGCCCCTCCTCCAACACACACGAACGTGCACATGACCAATGAGTGCACGAGATAAGTTTGTGCACAGATGGAAGGCTGACAGGCAGGTAGGCCATCCAGTTATTTTAGCCGGGCCGGCTCAGATGATTGGTCGTGCTTTTTACAGCACCACGGCTTCCACAGATGACGTTTTTTTATGGATTTGTTGTCAAAGCACTTCAGATATTCATTGCTATCGGGATGTTAAGAGCATTCCATGGAATATAACAACAAGTGTTTCTCGAGCCGGTTTCTCAAACTTACCTACCCCACCTTTAACTTGATATCATGAGTAAAAAAGTGAGTCATACTGGATTAAATGTCCATTACCAGCTTTTGTTTGGCACAAAACAGCTGCTGCTAAATTAATAAATTATTCACAGGTTATAGCTCTAAAAAAAGTGAAATATTGGCTTGAAAAATTGTGGGACTTAAGTGTCATATAAAGAATATAATCCAGTTTCCCAAAAGGATTATTTGGCTTAGGTTGAAAGCCGAAAAATATATATTCAGTTAATAATGTAAGCCTAAACAAAACAAATCTCATCAAATATAAGGATTTTGCAGTGTGAAAGAGTGTCTATGGTGTGTCTACGGGCGGCTGTGGCTCAGTGGACAGAGTGCTGGACTTCTCAGGGGGTACCAGGTTCGAGTCCCACTGCAGTCAGCATGTCATTGTGTCCCTGGGCAAGACACTTCACCCCAAATTGCTCCTGTGGGGATTGTCCACAGTACTGAATGTATGTAATGGATAAAAGCATCTAACAAATGACATGTAATGTGTTCATCCCTAAGGTAATGACCTCTTTTCATAAAATACACAACTTGTTTTCAAACACAGAGAGGATTTCTATTGTAAATAACATTTAACCTACAGTCATATCAACTCTGTAATGTCTCCATCCCTGACGTTAAATACAGGGACTAAAGTAATCACGACAGTAATGGGACGGAAATGAATAAAAAGGCTTCGGTTACACTTGTGAATTCTCCCTTGTCCAGCAGCAGATGGGGCGTGTGGTCGTAGTCGGAGGTGTAGTACAGGTGCACCAAGGAGCTGTTGAGTATCAGGTGGATCTTCAGAGTTTTACCGCGGTGCAGCTTTACAAAGTTCTGATGCTCTGCAACACAGAGAGGCAGAGAAGGGAGGACGTATGATAAGTACATCGCAACACTGTTTATATGAATCATCTAAAATGCATTAGCCTGCTGGAGTCCATTAACGTTAGGGTCTTTAAAAAGCCATTACGGCAGACAGAAGGAGCATAATAACAAGAGATGAAACAACAACAACAACAACAACAACATCCTGATGGAAGGTGGGGACCGTTTAAAACAGGTCAAGCGTGGAAAAGAAAAAAAAGATATACGATCAGTCTTCCTTTTGCACTTTTACCTTTGACATTGAGACACACTTTCCTCTGGATCACACCTTCAGCATCCCTGACGGTGTAGCTGCCCTCGTCGGCCCCGGAGACCACGCTGAGCGAGGCGTGGCGCTCGCTGACGCTGATGCGCCCCTGGTATCCGTCCCTGGACATCCCGGTGCTGGTCAGCAGCATCAGAGCAGGTCTGAGGAGGAGAAAGTCAGGCAGGGTGAACTTTCCTTAAGCGTTCTTATTCAAAGAAGACATATTCTGCTCATTTTGTGGTTCATATTTGTATTTTGTGACATGTTTCCATGCTTTAATGTTCAAAAAGCTCTTTATGTTTCTCTGTGCTGCCTCTTTTCACCCTCTGTCTGAAACCAGAGTCTGCTCTGATTGGTTAGCTGGTTGGCTCTGTTGTGATTGGTCAACAACTTTGAGGGGGCAGAGTGTGTGGGAGAGAAACTTTGGGATTGTTGCCTTTGCAGACCATTTACATGCACAAAAGCCTATATAACATACTACATGAAATGGAAGACCCCAAAAAGCACAATAGGGCCCCTTTAAGTATTTTACATGGCATGCATATCAAGGTAGGAAAATGGCATTAGATATTAAGTTTGGGTTAAAATATCTATCTATAATATGTGTGTTTTGCGGACTCTACCTGGACGTCTGGTTGGCCTCCACAGCGCTGGGCCTGTACTCCAGGGTGATGGGGGGGGTCAGCCCCAACAGCGGAATATTGAAGTGTTCTCCATATTTAACGATCAGCTCGTTGGAGCAATCTAGAAAGTAAAATAAGGGAGGTTTAGAGTGTGTTCTTGAATAAAAAGAAGCAACAAGGTTAGTCAATTGTCTGAAGTGGAAAAGAGTGAAAAAAGAGAGACAATTAATTGGCTTTGATTAAAGTTAACTAGAATTAGCACCCAGCGATTGTTTGCCTCTGCTAAGTTGCAGTTTATATGTCTGTCCAAAATATCATCACTTCATTGTTTTATCCTTCTAAACTCATGTGTATAGTTGACTTATTAAGCATGTGATTTGTTTGGTTATAGCCCAATCATTTGTGACGTTACAGTGACCTTGACCAAAATAGTATCAGTTCACCCGTGAGTCCATTTGGAAGGATGTTTGTACGTTACAGCTGTTTAACGAATGTACAACAAGAAACCATCATTCCTGCAGCCATTGCTGTCGCAGAGCCATTACATGATAGAAATAGAGGAGCAGTGAGAGAAAGGACAGATAGGGGGTAAGGAGTGAGGGAACAGAGAGAGGAAGGGAGAGGGAATGGCTTGACAGATGTGGTAGAAAAGGGGGCAGATTGCAGAGAAAAGAGCGCTGATCCAAAAATATCAAGGCAGCTGAAATGAAAGGGTAGGGATGCAAACCAAGCAGAGGGAAAGGCAGCAACGACAAGATAAAGAGAGGAAAACAGCGGGAGGGAAGGAGAGAGGAGTGGGCTGGTGGTTAAAGAGCTGCATAATTACTGCCTGGCAGATCCTCACACTTTCAGAACACACACACAAACACACACAAACCTCTTCATCAACTCACAACACATTACGCCCTCCATATGGCACATCTAGCGCACATTGCTACGCTACAGTTGCATTTATCCACGCTGGATTTGAGCCCACTGCCTCCTTCTCTCTGTGTGTGTGTGTGTGTGTGTGTGTGTGTGTGTGTGTGTGTGTGTGTGTGTGTGTGTGTGTGTGTGTGTGTGTGTGTGTGTGTGTGTGTGTGTGTGTGTGTCTAATCCCATCACAGTCACAGACCAGAGTCAAAACTGGTGCAACTTGTAACACTCGGAGGACAAACACGATGTGTAACTGAGAGGTTTATTTAGCTGCTGCCTGCATGAATAAAGCCGCAGAAGTGACAGCGCCGACACGACCACCACTGACTCCAGATCAGATATCAGAAGCATCCAGTGGTGCTATTCAGATACCTTACTTATAAAAGTACCAATAACTCACTGCTAAAACGCTATATTACAAGTGAGAGTGAAGTGTTTAGAGGGCGTTGAATTGCTATCAGCAGCATGTACTTCAGGTAATAAAATTAAAACAATTTAGATATACAAATAAATGCAATATTAATCTGTAAAGCCCAAACTTTGATTTGGTTTTGAATTTCATATACGAGTGTTATACAGTAAACTCCAGTTCGGCCTGAGATAGTGTTGCATGCAGTTGATGCTATGCTTCATTACCATTCATAATGTATAACTCTCTTCCAGTACCTCGGACAATAAGCGTGGTGCGCTGGACGTCCTGGAGCGTCTCCGGGTTCTTCACCGTGTAAACGCCCTCGTCTCCCTCGTCCACAGCGTCGATGATCAGGTGGCTGAGACGGCTGTTGAGTTTGGCCCGACTGTTGACCACGATGCCGCCGCGCATCAGGAACACGTCTCCGGACCGCGGAGAGGAGCGGTTCCTAAACGTGACCTCCAGCGCCAGAGAGGGCAGCCGGATGTGGTAGTCCTCCCCGTGGAAGAAGGTCTGGAAGTCCTCCTCCACTGGATCGTACCAAGGACATGATAGATCATCACTTTTTTAATGTTTAATGCTATTTTATTTCTATTACTGAAATATTTTGGACTGTTTATTTCTTGTGTCTTAATTTCTCTGCCTTGTTTTTTATGATGCTGCAACACAAACATTTCCCAAATTG